GATAGAGATGAAACAATTGGTCATGAGTTGGTAACTGTTGAAGCTGAATTGTGGGCACATGAAATTTGCTATACAATTCTACCTACTTTTTTGTTTGAAATTTTCCATAACAAAACAATTTTTAAAACATCCTCATACTTTATCTGTATGATGCATCATTTTTTTTCTCTCGTTAGTTAACATACAGCCTGGTCTTGGTCTCAGTGATTCATCACTTACATTCAACACCCAGTGCTCATCCCAACGAGTGTCCTCCTCAAAGCTCATCACCCATATCCCCACCCCCATCAACCCTCAGTCTGTTCTCTGTATTTAAGAGTTTCTTATGGTTTGTCTCCCTTTCTGTTTTTCTTATTTTTCCTACCCTTCCTCTATGATGATCTGTTAAGTTTCTCAAATTCCACATATGTGTGAAGTCATGAGATATTTGTCTTTCTCTGACTTATTTTGCTTAGCATAATACCCTCCAGTTCCACATTGTTGCAAATGGTAAGATTTCATTCTTTTCCATCATTGAGTAGTAGTCCAGTGTGTGTGTGTGTATGTGTGTGTGTGTGTTTAAAGTTTTTTTTTTAAGTTTTTAAAAAAAGTTTATTCATTTATTATTTCAAGGGGAGAGAGAGGGAGCACACATGCACCAGTGGGGGAACGGTAGAGTGAGAGAAGGAGATACAGAATCCAAAGCAGGCTCAAGGCTCCAAGACATCAGCAGACAGACAGACTGACATGGGGCTCAAACCCACAAACTGTGAGATCATGACCTAAGCCAAAGTCAGAAGCTCAACCAACTGAGCTATGCAGGCGCCCCATATAAACCACATCTTCTTAATCCATTCATCAGTTGGTGGATGTTTTGGCTCTTCCCATAATTTCGCTATTGTTGATAGCATAGCTATAGACATTGGGTTCCATGTGCCTGTTCTAATCAGCACTCCTATATCCTTTGGATAAATTCCTAGTAGTGCAACTGCTGGGTTGTAGGGTAGTTCCACTTTTAATTTTTTGAGGAACCTCCATACTGTTTTCCCAGAGCAACTGCACCAGTTTGCATTTCCCCCGAACAGTGTAAGGGGGTTTCCCCTTTCTCTACATGCTCATCAACATTTGTTATTTCTGGAATTGTTAATTTTAACCATTCAGACAGGTTTGAGGTAGTATCTCATTATGGTTTTTATTTGCATTTCCTTGATGATGAGCAATGTTAAGCATCTTTTCACGTGTCTGTTTGCCATCTGAATGTCTTCTGTAGAAGAGTGACTTTCAAGTTTTCTGCCCATTTCTTCACTGGGTTTTTTTGTTTTTTTGAGTACTGAGTTTGGTAACTTCTTTATAGATTTTGGATACTAACCCTTTATCTGACATATCATTTGCAAATATCTTCTCCTGTTCTGTTGGTTGCCTTTTAGTTTTTTTGATTGTTTTCATTTTTGTGCAGAAGCTTTTTATCTTGATGAGCTCCTAATGGTTCATTTTTGCTTTTATTTCCCTTGCCTTCAGAGACATGTCAAGTAAGACGTTGCTGTGGCTGAGGTCAAAGAGGTTGCTGCCTGTTTTCTCCTGTAAGATTCTGATGATTTCCTGTCTCACATTTAGGTCTTTCATTCATTTCGAATTTATTTTTGTGTGTGGTGTGAGAAATTGATCTAGTTTCATCCTTCGGCATGTTGCTGTCCAGTTCTCCCAGCACCATTTGCTAGAGACTGTCTTTTTTTCATTGGATACTCTTTCTTGTTTTGTCAGAGATTAGTTGGTCATGTATTTATGGGTCAATTTCTGGGTTCTCTATTCTGTTCCACTGATCTGAGTGTCAATACCATGTTTTTATGCCAATACCATACTGCCTTGATTACAGCTTTGTAACATAGGCTAAAGTCCAAGATTGTGATGCCTCCAGCTTTGGTTTTCTTTTTCAACATTACTTTGGGTATTCAGGGTCTTTTGTTTCATACAAATTTTAGGATTGTTTGTTCTAGCTCTGTGAAGAATGCTGGTTCTATTTTGATTGGGATTGCATTGAATGTGTAGATTGCTTTGGATATTATCTTCATTATAACAATATTTATTCTTCCAGTATATGATACATCATCCTTGTGAAATTGATGTCCGTCTTTCCTACAAAATTTTCTGACTCCCCAATGGTGTATAAAACCAGAAAAATATCTACAGGACATTAAAGGCACTTCCCCCTCCCCCCCTCCCAAGGAAGGAGAACATGAAAAATCATTTCTTCAACCATCTATTATAATAATTTTATTTACGATGCCTATTACCTTTTAAAGGAGTAGGGCCTTAGCCTGGCTAACTTTTAATCTTGTATATATGGTTTACTTCAATGCTTTGCATGGGGAATGCACAAATCCTCTTTATCTTATAGTTTTGTTGAACAAATATCAGTGCAGGACACTTACTCTGATTTGGTGTGCCTTGCTAAGTGTTGGGATCAGTATTCACATGCAGTCACCTGTTAATGGCTCTCTAGTTAAATCATATTTTTCTGATGATGATCAGTTATGTACCAATTATATAAAAATTATTTCCTGTGCAGTGGAGCTGACCCTTAACTGCTGATTAATATAGTCAATGAACAATTCACTAATTTGGAGGGCTCTTGGGGAAATACATTTGGCTTGGATTAGAATCCCAACTCTGCCTCTATGAGCACTTCAGGAAAATTATTTCACATGTTTGGGCTTCATTTTCATCTGTAACTAGACTAAAACTATTTACCTCACTGAGTTGTTTAGACAATTAAATCAGGCTTGCCTCTGCCAGATTCACAGACTCTCTTATTCTCTCTTGACCCCACTTCTATCAATTTTTACCTCTATCACTCTACTGAAAAGCACCATGACCTTCACTTTGGTAATTCTGAAAGAACTCTCTTTTCTTAACAGTTCTATCATCGTTCCCTTGGACAGATGCATACCTATCACCTTCACTTGACTTGGGTCTTTACTCAAATTCATTTGCTCAGTATGACTGACTATCCAATTCAAAATTTTAGCCTCTATTCCTATATTTCATATTCTTGTTTCCTGCTGTTCTTAGCAGTTGGCACTACTTAATATATTTTACTTATTTTTCTTGTTTACTTTCTGCCTTATCTCCTCCTTGCCTGCCTCTACCTCTCCTCCCACATTAAACTCCATGAAGTCAGGCACTGTTATCTATTGTTTTTATTGTGTGTCGTTATTGCTTAAAACAGTTGGTAGTGCATAGTGAGTATTCCACAAATATCTGTAGAATAAATGAGTGGAGGAGACAATGTATTTGTGCCAGAGAAGTATCTGCACATAATAGATGTTGAACACAAAATGACTTATTCTTTCCTTTTTCATAAAACAGAACATTGAAATAATTGTTTCAATTAATGTTGATAATAATTCTGGATGAATTAGATTCCTAAGCTAGTACCCCAACAATTCAGTGAAATGACATTAAATATTGTCACAGATATTATGATTTTAAAAATTCATTAATTTGTATTTTCCACACACATTTATTGAGCGTGTATCATGTAGCAGGCATTGATCTGGGCATCTCTAGTGAAGGGGAATAAAGTGTATTGCTGCCTTTAAGGAGTTCCCAGCCTAGTGGGGAGACAGACACAAAAAGAAATCAATACATCATAGTAAATATATAATCATGGAAATATGAAGGACAAGGGGCCCTCAACCCATTCTGAGAGGCTCATAAAGATCTCCAGAAGAGACAATAATTGAAATAACTGTTAAAAATGAGCATGAATTAGGGGAGCAGAGGACAGAAAGGCAGGCCACACACGGAAACTTGCTTAAGCAATGAACTAGGTGAGAAAAGGTATATGTGTGTTGTGTGTGTGTGTGTGTTTGGTGAATGGGGCAGTTGGGGTTAGATTTAGCACTGATAGATATTTAAGTGTAATGTGGCTGGATGCTTATTTTTGTTATGCCTTTCTTCTCATACTTTCTCTTTGTGACTAATTTATAGGTTCAATATAATATATAGGTATTACATTTCATCTATAGTCATCTTCAGCCATACTTTCTTACACCTTAAAATACTCTTTCTCTGGGATCAGGACTCTTTCAAGTATATAATCACTACATGAGAAGATAATTTTTATAGTTATAATGATCACTTAAGACATGTAGAGATGACTAAGGAAAGTTAAACATTCAGACTGAAAAAAAATTGATTTGATGTGTGGAGGGAAAAAAAATCCTCTTGCTTAGTTTTTCCAGAAGCCAGTGTATAAAAAACCAAATTGTTTAATATGGAATTTTGCATGTAGAGAAAGAACTTAGCTTGAACTGCCTAAAAGAAGCCAAATGAGACTTGTAAAAACAAGAGTCTAATACTTTGGTAAGTCACAATTAGGTACAATTTTGGAAATTAAGAATTTGAAAATTAAAAGCCATGGATATTCAAAGAGAGACCTTTTAAAACCGTTTTATAAAAAAGGAAGAGTGTTGACATTTTTATTTAATTGAGAAAAATGATCTTGTGTTGGTTAAAAAGGAAAATTGTGATACTTATATAGTGTCTTTGTGCAACTTTTATTAGAGGCAGCTTATTAAGCTTCTTAAGACAGCAGTGTTGAAAATACCATCTTCTGAGTGTTTATCACAAAAACACTGTCAGGCAAACACACATAAACCTGTATTAAATCTATTTTGTAAGTGAGGAAAAAAAATGCATTTCAAAGGAGACTCACACAGCATTCCAAGTGGGATACAGTAAGCCAAGTCATCAGAGAGCTACTGTGATTTGAAGTTGATTTAGTCCTCTTCATCAGGAGCTCTGATAACCTGTTTTACTATTCTAGAAGATTGCTAGTTGTTCCCCATAATCTGTTTCTCCCTTTGTCCTGAGATCCTAATGTATATCCATCAGCTAAATTTCCTTGCATCTTTGCTGCTATGTGTGGCCTTCTGACTATGTTTGAACCAAGGGGATATGAGCAGAAGTTATTTCTCTGCACCTTGACTCTTTCCTTCCTTTCTTTTTTTTTTTTCCAGGAAAATGGGTGTGTCCCTGGTGCTGTTTTGCCTGAGAAGACAAGGATAGTACCTTATGGATGATAAAGGTAGAAGACTGAGCTGCCCGGCCAGTCTGTACTGGCCAATCTGTTGTGTATGAAAACTTCACAACAGTTTTCACAACAATTTCACAATACTTCAGTGATTGCATTGGTAGTTTCCTTAATTAATACAATTAGATATATTTCTTTGTGACTAATTCTTAGAAGGTCCAGACAATTGATGAGGTCAGCAAACTAAGTAAATTATTGAAGACAGTATATCTAAAAGTAGCACTAAATTAATAAAATATAAAAAGAACTAATATTCTCCTTTGTTTTTAGTTTGTAAGTAATTCATCAGTAACTTTTTTTAAAGTTTGTTTGTTTTGAGAGAGAGAACATGCATGAACGAGCACATGAGTGGAGGAAGGGCAGATAGAGAGAGAGAGAGAGAGAGAAAGAGAGAGAGAGAGATTCCTAAGTAGGCTCCCTGCTTTCCATTGAGCCATACATAGGGCTTGATCTCATGAATCTGTGAGGTCATGACCTGGGCTGAAATCAAGAGTTTGGAGGCTTAACTGACTGAGCGACCCAGGTGCCCCTCATCAGTAACTTTTAAAACAAATATTTGAACACATTCTGTGTCTAGATTTTATTCATATTAAAGCACTTCTTTTCAATATCATTTAAACATTTTTTCTGATCTCAAGGTACATATATTCCAGGATAGAGAGAAGATACTAAATAAGTAAATTAAAAATGTGCAATAAAACTTCTGATTTTGAGAGGCACACCACTGAGTTCTCCCTTTGAATAAAGACCTCCCTCAGCTAGTAAGAAGTGGGTACTTCAGTCACAGAGCTGCAAGGGGATGACTTTTGCCAACAACCAAGATGAGAATGGAAATTAATTATTTCCTAGTCAAGCTTCCAAATGAGAACGCAGCAGGTCAACACCTGATTATAGTCTTGTGAGACGCTAGGCTAAGCCAACCTTAGACTTCTGACCCACAGAAATTGTGAAACAATAAACCTGTGTTGTTTTAAGCAACTAAGATTTTTATAATTTTTTACACAGCAGTAAAAAAACCAATGCAAAACCAATAGAATTACCGATTGTGATGCATTTTATGAAAATAACAACCCCAAACCCCACACCAATCCAAAATACTACATAACTAATTCAGTTTTGCACCCCTGTGGATGAAATCTTCATTCACTCCTCTCAAGTTATTTTCCTACAGTTAAGGATGCAGTTCAGGATAAGATGATAGAATTATTCATACAATAATTGAATTATATAGCAACAATGATAGCAAAACAGCCCATCTTATATTACATCTCCATCTGGATAGCTGCTTCTAATAGAAATTTCTTTGTAATCTGGTCTTCTTTACTTTTCTAAATAATCAGGTGTACAACAAAATTATGTGAACCATTTTTGCTTATTTTTTAAATAAGCTATTGCACTTTGAGGCGCATGTGTGGCTCAGTTGATTAAGTGTCCAACTCTTGATTTCAGCTCTGTTCACGATCTCATGGTTTGTGAGAAAGAGCCCTGGGCTGGGCTCTGAACTGCAGTGTGGAGCCTTCTTGGGATTCTCTCCCTCTTGCTCTTTCTCTGCCCCTCTTCCCCCGCTCTCTCTCTCTCTCTCTCTCAAAATAAATAAATAAATGTTAATAAAATAAGCTATCGCAATATGACCCAGCAAATTGTAAAAATGAAGATACGGGGAAAAATAAACACTTACAGTCTGTGGAAATTCTGTTCTAAGATTAAAAAAAATCCTAGTATTTCTTGTCCTTAGAAACCATATAAAAAAGACATTTTTATTAAAATATAAACACAAAATATTTATAACTAGATACAACTAAAATTACTTAGAAAATATTCCATTTAATTAACAACCTGTGGTTTGGAGGTTTAGAACATCATTAATTTATTAAGAAAAGTCTTATTTCCCTGGGTGAATATCAAAACTCATTCTTCTCTAAGGGCATGTCTACATAACAGCAACATTTTGTTTCTGTACAAATGCGAATGGAAACATACCTGGGTGCAAATTTCTTAACAAGAAGGCTGTTAACTTACATGGAGCACTTTACTTATTAGTTTCTCAGATTCAATCTCTATCACAAGAGATTCTGATTCAGCAGGTTTGGGCAAAGACAAGGTTTCAGAAATGGGAATGAAGGAAAGTGGCAAGCCTGTGCCTCTGAGTTTTTATGAAGTCTTCTTGAGGATGCAAGTTTGTGACCTACTTTCTTCAGTTTACTGAGTCTCACTATAGTACGTCTGATGAGAGAAGCAATGGTTTCGAGCTTCTGTGATGCTATAATCCAAGGAGCCATTTCCTGTCACCATCTTTTAAATGAAATTTGCTGTTTCAAGTTCCATGAAGTCTCAGTAATTGATATCAATTATGTCCCTACTTAGTAGATCTTTTCCTCCATTGCTGAATTTAAATTCCTAAAACATAGAAGAGAATGGAAAGAAACAACTATGTGTGTGTGTGTGTGTGTGCATGCACACGTGCACATGTGCACACACGTGTGTGTACACACATCAATGGTTGGGTGGATGACAGTAGGAAAAAAAATCATTAGCTACTGTAACTGAAATATCCATGCCTGGCTATCCACCTTGTACTTAATCTTTAAGTCACTGCCCCTATGAAGTATCCTTCATTTCTTGGCAAAACCATGCTCCACTTTATCTTGGCTCTCCTAGCACCCTGTAAATAACTCTCCTATATGTGTCATGGTATTTTATAGCTGTCCTTCACCTCTGGTAGGGATTTCACCCAGTCTGCCTGTGCAATCCTGAGTTCTTAGCACAGTATGCGGTATGGAGGAGGTTCTCAACACATGAAAGAAATTGGACTTGAAAAGTACCAGAAAGGAGTGAAAGTAGAAAAATATGTGGGTGAGAAAGAAGAAAGGGCATATCGGATAATATCAACCTTGATAACTTTTTTGGACTTCCTATTGATTTAGAGTTTGTTGCTTGAGGCTATTTTTTATTCCAGTCATTTCCCCCTATTTCTCCCACTTTACTCTCATCCTACCATCCTGATATACAAAGTTTTAAAACTGATGATGGGCTTAATAGCTTTCCCAAAGTGGATAGAATTGTTTGAAGTCCAAACAATTATAACTGTCTTCTTTCACACTTTATTCAGTAGTAAAAGTAGATGTAACCACTATCCTAGTGTGCATATGGATAAATGAAAGAGTATATTCTTTTAAGAGGGCATGACACACTGACATTTGCTGAGCATTTATTATATCCCAGGCACTGTGTTGAACACGTACTTAGATTATTTCATGAGTCCTTCTATTAACCTATGAGGCAGGAATTATATTATTTCACAAAGGAGAAAGTAATATTACAGGGGTTGCAGAAATGGCCCAAGGTCTCACAGCTGGTGAACAGTGGAGGCAAAATTTGAATGCAGATCTATCCTAATAAATTTTAGTGTCTCGTAGCCTAGACTGAGTTCATTTGCAAGGGATACAGTAGAGAGCCTCCTGTGCATTTTAACATATCAGAGTGGATGCGCCTGCTGTGGGGAAGGTCTAGCCTAACCCAACTCATTTATTTTGCTTTGCATAGTATGAATTTTTAGCACCTTCTCATACAAGCTACCCACCTTATACTCAAACTGTAATCTCCAAATTCTTGGCCAGTAAATATCTCCCACAACTAAAAATGCCCCATTTCTACTCTTAGAATATTTTAGCTTTATTTTATAAAATGCAATAATATATTTGGATTTCAATGTCCCATCTTGACAGTAATTTGAATTAATATGCAAGATTTCCATACATATGAGGATTTAGCTTACATACCATCATCTATATTCATACCACATTAATCATTTCAATCTAATCTGTGAAATAAATCTTATATTCTAAACAGGACTATTTCCATTCCCTAAAGAAATCAAGTGAGTTTTTTTGTCCCTATATCCTTCCTCACCAATTTTTCTGAAACACCTTTAAATATATGTCTAGCAAAATACTGTCCATCTTTCAAGGATCCACTAGAAAGTGCTCATTTCTCTGCATTGAGTAAACATCAGGGGAAAAAAAAAAAGATGCTGACACTTCATAGTCCCACCCAGATTCCTGGTGACTTTCAACCTTAAAGTCATGTGGATTGTAATGAATTTGCGATACATTTGAAATAAAGCAAACTTGCTTGCTATAAAGAATGGGAATACAGAGAATATGACTCAAGGCTCTGAAAGACAGATTGCTAAAAATTAATTTGGCTTCAGATCCTAGTCAGCAGGTAAGTTGTTGGGTGGAATATCACTCCTATAAAGGAACTGAACTACCAGAGAGAGTAAATAGGCTAATGGCACAGAGAAGAAACAAGGTCCTGAGGTGCAGGGACAAAAAAAAGAGATGAACAGAGAATGGTGTACTGAGACATCACTCCAGCTCTGTACCTCTTGGCTACATCTGGTTTGTACATTAATTTGTTCATTCAATCAGTAATTCATTGAGCATTTATTATCATTTATGTATCAACAATTAACAGGCATAAAATGAATAAAACGCATTTCCTTAGATGAATAAGAAAGATATATATTAGGGATTTGAATTAAATAGTATTATTCAATATTTTTCATGAAAGGACATTGAGTGGACACCATTGGTACTTTTATGTATCACTAACTCACACCGCTTGCACCAAGACATCATGAAGGACCAAAGACCATGCCTGCCTGCTTCCATATTTCTGAGTTAGAGTTCTCTGATGAGGATCAGCTGGCCCTGAGGCACTTGTCTAGGTAATTCTTCCGCGTGACACATGTTGAATTAAAGTGATGGCTTGTCAAAATCATTTGAACTGTTAGAGGTGAAAAAGGTTGGGGACAAGGGGGTAGAATGGAAGTCTTCAGATTCCAGTTCTGGAATTCCATTATGGAATGTGATGTGAACCTTCCAACACGTTTCCTGCCCTGATTGATGATGGGGCAGGAAATGGATAGGGCCTATCTAACAAGTCAGGGAAGGAAGTGTGGGCATAAGTGATCTCAGCTGTCAGCTGGAGTAGACAGAGGGACAAGGACAGTTCTGCTGCCACTTCCTCCATAAAGCCCTTACAATCGCCCAAACTGGAGTGCTGGTTTATCACACTTCATTTACATCACTTGCTACTTGCCTTATACTTGGACTGTGACGAGGAGGACGCAGCAGTGCCTGGTCCTCAGGCCAGAAGGGGTTAAAGAAAA